ATTTGACACAGTATTGTAAACTGACTATAACTCAATAAAATAAAATTAAAAAAATATAATGGACCTAGTCTAGGCTTGTGGAATGGGATCAGAGAATAAAAAATAAAAGGAATACTAGATTTTCTTTTCCTTCCCAAAGGCACAATGCCATTTTATGCTGCTTGTTAATTTTCTGGTATCCTTTGAAAAAAGGTGGAACGGATATTATCAGACCTGTTTTGCAGATTGGAAAACCTACACCATAAGAACTTAGCTGACCTGCTGAGTCATTCATTTAGCTCTGTAGTTTATCATTAGGCTACTTGCTTTCATGGAATTCTGAAAATAAAAATATGAGATCCCCAAATGTAGAGCAACACTGATCAGTTAGGTAACTCTCTGATGTTTCTCGAGCGTTTATGATGTGCCAGGACTACAGGACCCATGGGAGACACAGAGCATCTTGAGCCTGTGCAGAGTCCTTCAGATTCTCACAGGCTGGCGAGGGGACAGGGAAATCCACCAGCAATCAGTGTCAGTCCCTTTCAGAAATATTCTCTAATTAAAATCACTGCTGGAGGAGCGGTGCAGGTGAGGATTCAGAGGTGTTAAGACTCACTGAGGGCTGTCACAGGGGTCACGGCCAATGGTAGAAGGCAGGTTTCATGTTGGGATTTGCAGACAAGAGACAGATACAAGGAATGTGAAAAGGGACCAGGCGAGCAAAGGTGCACGTGTGGACAGGAACACGGTACACTGAGAACACACTGGAGGGAGCGGGAGGTTTACTGGGGGGGGGGTCACAGAGGCAAGCAGGTTTGCAGAGAATGACCAGGGCCAGGCAGTACAGGTCCTCTAAGCGAGGTGCTCTGTGCCTTATCCTGTAGGCAGAAAGAATCTATTGAGGATTTTTACTCAGCATCATAACATAACACAAATATTGTTATAGCAAGGGAAATCTGAAGAGTGTATAGTATGAATTAAGGGAGAGAAGATGATTAGACCAGGCAGAAAAGGTGAAATATAAAACACAGACTAGTCCTGGTATCATTTTTATAATCATAAGACACAATATTTTAATATAAAAATATTAAGAGCTGGGTCCAGGATGATGGTTACAAAGAGACGACTCGATAATGAGAAAAATCCAAATGGCCAGAGTCAGTATGACCTGGTGACCAGCTGGAAATAGGGAGAAAGGAGGGAACCACTATGCCCCTCACCTTCAAATCCTTTAATCTTCATAACTTTCAGGGTATATTCTTTGCACTCAGTCAAGCATATGCAATTAGTCTCTACATTTTGCTTATTTTTAATTTAAAATCATGTTTTATTATCAGTAATGTCAGAGTCATAGATTCTCCCCAGCCGGGATGAGAGATTTACATGGCATGACCCAAAAGATTTTGGGGACAAGTGACTCAGAATGCAGCCTTTATGGTCTCACAGTGATGTTAATGAAGCCAGACTTTCATGCAATAAACAGAGGACCATTATTTCATTCCAGGATCAGGAGATGGAAGGCTATTTTAAAGGCACTGTTAGAATATAGAAACATAAATTAAGTTTTAAGGCTTAAAACTCTCAGGAAAGTTTTGTGACTGTACCGAACACTGTATAGCCCTCATAACTTATCACTCTTAAAATGCATCATCATGCCGTCCTGGCAGCGAATTATGGCAGAAAACTGGGGTGACCACAGGGATAGTGGAATAAGCAAAGTGTTTCACTACAACTACTGGACGTTAACCTGAGAATTATTCATTATAACATTTATTCATTCATTTAAGCATTTATTTCCAGGAGCTCTTGCTTTTTAGGAACTACGTTCTATATGCAAGAGACAAAGACGATTAAATCACAAAGGTGCTCTCAAGGAAGCTTCGAGTCTACGGGGTAAGATAGATTAGTAAATGGACATTTTACCTACCCTTAAGAAGTGGATAAATACTGTAGGTGCACAAGGCCACGGGACGAGGGTAGAGGCGAGTGGAGGTCGGGGAGCTGAATCGGTGTTGGCAGGTGGACCAGATGAAGGAGGGAAAGGAGACTCGAGGGAGGTTGGATTGGCTTCCGAGAGCAAGTGGTGCTTGAATTTCCCTTTCCATGTTCCTTTCCTATTCCTCCCTTCCGATCCTCGCCTCAGGACCTCTTCTTTCTGGGTCATCCAACCACAGCCACTCCTTCTTACCACCTTTTACATGGATGAATCCTAAAGCATTATGTCCAGCTCCGCCTGCCTCTCTGACAAAACTCTGAAGTCAAGGGGCTAAAGGAGTGTGTGTGGGCTTAAAGGCAGTCACCCAAGAACTGGAAATATAATGTCTTAGAGACCAAAGGAAGAGAGAGTTTCAAACAGGGAGGAGGCATTAGTGCTGGATGTGAAAAGCAATGAAACATGTGCTTTGGACCATGGATACGCTCGGTGAGCATATGTGAGAGAAATCGGGAGGATGGAGGTTGGAAAAAGATCAAAGAGGCATCAGATATACTCAACTCATGTGAGACACGAGTGAGAAAGGAGGGAAAGACAAGAACCAGAGGAGGAATTGGGTTAAGGGAGTTTCTCTAATGCAAAAGAGAACCTGTTTCTTATGCTGAGGGTGTAGCATTAGCAAAGAGAGGGGAGCTGAAAACAGAGGAAGAAAATTGATGGAGTAAGTTACCAGGGTTGGAGGGCAGAACCTGGAACCCTCGTGGGGGAAGAGCTTTCTCCCGCTCTGAGATGGGAAAGAAGTAGGGGGCGATGGGTGGCATGCAGGGATGTCTGTAGATGAGGGAATCCTTTTAATACTGACCACACACTTGCTCCCTACAGTCCCCTACGTGGACCACAAAGATGAGCAAGACACCATCCCCGTACTCTCCTTTCTCACATATTCACTTCATTTAAGTGAATTAATGGATATTTAACCTTACGTTCCTTGAAATTCAAACATGCTCAGCAGTGGCCTCAAAGGGCAGGATGCTGCGAATAAGTACTCCCGAGAGCAATGAACCACTGACCTTGCTTAGAATCCGTGGTGCATGATGATAAAAATTACTCTGACTCTTCATCAGTTTTATTATCATCTTTAAATCACCTATAGAAAATGACCCCCTGATCACTTCCATTTGAGCGGAGCCTGCCCTTCTACCCCACCGGTGCTCAGACGCCTACTGCAAGGCTCCCTTTGAAGCAAACAGAAAGGCACGAAACTAACTTAGGTAACAAGAGTAGAAGAGCCTGAAGGAAGTGAAGAAGTTAAGTTTAACCCCTTCAGAAGAAGAAGAAGCAAGCGAGGCC